GAAGGAACATTCACCATCTCACATTTTCTGTCGACACAACCCAGAATCCATAATTAATGTTTTTTTTTGGGTGACATCGCGTAACTATAAATGTGTCGTTAAACCCGCCACCACCCGACACAGCCGATTAGTAAGGTTTGCCACGTAAAACAAAACGTGCCAATTAGTGACTACTTCAGCACACCGGTGTGTTCGGAGAGTAAACCCACAACATTTACAATTCGAGTACTGCGACGTATCGCTGGTGATTACGACCAGCAGCCTCATCAGGCGACTCGCCAGAATTGTTTGGGCTCAAGATAAATACGAGCAAAGCGAAACGTTAAAAAACTTTGTTGAAGGGACCTCTGGAATTAAATAAATAGGGGCTTTGTGTGTGTGGGGGGGGGAGACTCTAGGCAGAGGGGTGCCAAGCGCCCTCTAAAGACACCTTCAAGTGTTCACGTCCGGGGGGTTGAGTAATGTTCATGGCTCACGCACTCGAGTTGCGTTCAGCCTCGCGCGTGCCACGAAGGGGCGTGTCGACGCGGGCTTCCTCGCCCCCCCCACCTCAACTTGCAACCCAACCCCACCTCCAACTCCCCCACCGCTTTAATTTCCGATTACGACAGCGGCGTAGCACGGTTGACATTAGCGCTGGTGCAAGGAATCAAATGGGGGGGGGGGGGGTGGTGAGGGGGGTTGCTCCCACGTCCGATTTCCCTTCCTCTTTCGTTTCCCGCGGCCGCCAACGACCGGCCCCGACGGTTCCCCCTCGAGGTGGCCCGTGGGCCCTGGCCGGTGCCACCGCCTGCACGCACGCACGGCAGCTCCGTCGACGCCGCCGCCCCCCCCTTCCTCCTGCTGCCTCTCTTGTGCCCCAGACCCTCTTGCTGTGCAGATCGGGCGGCCGCCCTCCCGAGCGGGAGATTGGAGGCGCTGTGCGCTCGAGCTTTAAGTGAGGTTCGTTTGATTCGACGTCTGCTGGAGGGTTCCCCCCCTCTCGTCGTCCATACCACCCGTCCACCTCTCCCCCCCCCCCCCCGGGCACGAACCCTTGAATCCTAACCAACGTCGGTCCCAAAAGACAAAGCCATCGACCGCGGAACGTTAGCCAGCCAACAAAGCCGCGGGGATGTTATCTGAAAATGCTATAATGGTAACAGCAGGACACGTTGAGTTTGAGGTTTGCCGTGTTTAATTACCCTATAGATTATTTCCAACAGAGCTGGCATGAACGCGGGCGCATTGCGAGTGTGTCGTTGACTTGCGCAACGGATTGAATTGCTTCACATTCTGGACTATGGGCTAAATTGCGGCAAATTTACCTAAATGAAATGCATTTTACGAAGGCAACTTTTGCCCGAACACGTTGCAGACGATCGTACGCGAATGTCGGCACGTTTGCAGGTTAGCAATGGAACACGTGGATATGACCGAGCGACCTTCATTGGGAATCAAAAGCCGTCGATCCGAAGGCAAGAAGAGATATCGGGCTCTGTGGGAGGTGGAAGAGCCTTAACGGTGTTAAACCGCCAGCACGCGCGCCACGATGGGACGTGGAACCGATGGCCTTGTGGGGAGCGGTGGTGTAGCGGCTAGTGCTACGCTGCGCTGCGAACCTGGCCACCCGGGTTCGATTCCCGCTCATGGCCAACACCGGTGACGATTATCTGAACCGGTCCTGAGCCTCCCCTACGTCGACTCAGCCTCAAATGAGTACCTGGTGCGATGTGTAAACATCGCCACTGGGGAGACAAAGGCGGCCGGGCGTGGTGTTGGCCAACCACCCCGGCCTTTAGGTGCTCGCTAACAGCACTTGCCTCTACAGTCTATTGAGGCTATACGGAGGATCTTTGTCTTTGTTGACCTTATAGGGAGCGTTGGCACAGTGGTTAGCGCACTGCCCTACGAACCTTGTGCCCCGAGTTCAATCCCCACTCACGGCCAACACAAGTGATGATTATGGACCATCATGGCACATGGAGTGCAGGGAACACAGATCTGGGCCCTGTGCTGATCTTGGGTCAGAACTGGGCTGTTCCTGGGCTGGCAAATGAAAGCTCTTCAGTAGTTGCACAAAGGAGGCATACGCATTCTTGTCCACTCTGTGTGTGTGGCACACATTCCAACTAAACCCCTCTGGTGGTTAAAGTGGCCCATTACCTTTGTTTAAAAGAAGAAAAAAATCATTCAGCACTTAGATTAATGCCTTTGCTCGAGCCTGCGAAAGATCTGTTTGATCTATGCTCTGCCATGAAGATTCGGCACGGGTATATATTGTTTTGCAGGGAAGTTATGAATTCAATGGGAATGGAAAGGCGGCGATGAGATATTGGTCAAACTTGATTCGAAGCTTTCGTGACTGCAGGAATTACTCTTTGGTTCTTTCGGTAAAGTCACGTAGAAAATAAAACCAAATAATAATAGAATACGATGTTCCGATTGAAACATAAGCAACCATCATCAGGTAAGAATGAATGATAAAACACAGACAAGGAAACAACATAGACAAACAGTTTGTCTTGGTGTGTCTCGCTCGGTGTGTCTCTGCATGTGTCTGCCTGTGTTGTTTCCGTGTCTGTGTTTCATCATTCATTCTTACCTGATGATGGTTGCTTGTGTTGCAATAGAAACGTCGTATTCTATTATTATTTTATTTTCTACGTGACTTTGCGGAAAGAACCAAGAGAGATATTTGTCCTAAAGACTTCCTCGTCGATTTCCCTGCAAGGAACCCCGCAGATACTCGGCCAGACGATTGGGGCTTCACGGTGGTTTTCTGTGTAGACTCACTCACTGCCCTGCATTTTTCTTCCAAAACATTTTCATAAATTTTTTTTGCCACCAACCACGGCGTGAATTGCATGCGTACGATTGATCAAGCTTACTGTAGGCAGGCAATTTTTTGTACAAATTACATATGTTTTGCTGTTATGTTTAAAAATTACAATTATGGCTCTGGCAGCACGTTTAACGAGAATAGAATACTGAATAATACGAACTCAATTGGTGGGTGCACCGAGTGAATGCATTACTGTGATGCATTTAAATACCATTGCTCTGTGAGTGGCATACTTTTACCACAAGTCTCGATTACGTCCGCTTGTGAAGCAAACCCTGCGATCACGCGCGTGGGCAAGGGAGTCTGCGTTTTGTTGCTGCGATGCACGGCAAAGTTTGACTGGTCAATAAAACAACGCAGATCAGCCGCGCTTGAAATTAATGTCTGGCTCTGGACACACGGGAGTCACGTGTTGGCAAGCGTCTCCCCGCATGGCGTTGCGTTTTAAATAGGCGCTTTTCCGCGGCCTTAACAGGGATCCCGAGAGCTTAGTGCGAATGCACATTTTTGTTGTTGTTGTTGTTGCTGTTATGGATATAAAATGTCTGGGGACGTTGCGTTGCACTGTTGCGATATTTCGCGTGAATCAATTTTGGCTGAGAGCTTTGCTTTTTTTTCCCCCCAACTGTATTGTCAGCATCATTTCCCACGCAAATATGAACATCGCTGATTTAAAAAAAAGAGCCAAAAAAGCACCCCGTAGGGTACTCGATTTGCTGAGACGACCGAGAGGCAATAAACGAACGAGTGAATCAAATCCCCTTTGTCGAGCACATGTTCTGATCCGGCGTATCGCACTGCACGTATTGGCGAGGCGAGTCAGCAAGGGTACGGTGTGCTTCCTCTGCTGTGTCCATTAAACGGCAACGTGCGGGACAAACTGAGCGCGTCTTTGGAACACGCCGCTCTAATTGGGGCGTTTCATTTTGTCCGTGCGTTTCATGGGTGGTGAACTTCGCTTGTCTGGGGCCTGTTGTGGCTGGTTCACGGGAAGTGGCCCGGGGGGTGGGGGGGAAGAAAGAGGAGGGGGTCGACGGCGGCGGCGGCGGCGAGAGTGTCGGAGCGAACGTAATGGGACCAATGAAAATAGATTCCTTCCAGGCAGCCGCTTGCTGGTGTCCCAGGTCACCTCGCTGTGCCAAGGAAAGGGCAACGAGTTCTTGATGGCACCGTGCCATTCGTCCTCCCACGGGCTCGTCGAGCCGATGGGCGCGCGCCAATCATCCCGGCGGCGGCGGTGCCACACCCGTTGTAGGCTGAGCTAAAGGATGTAACATGAGAGGTTAGATTCCCAGCACCAAAGCTCACATCAGTGGCGAGTGATTTCTGAACCGGACTGGGGCGGGAGGGGGGGGGGAAGCCGTGCATCCAAAAGTGGATTGACAAAGGGCTGTAAATTATTATGAATACGTTCTGATTTTTGTAAATGTACTAAATTGATTATTAAAACAATGGAGGCATTCTAATGATGCAGACAGCCGCATTGAGCAGTTTGCAAATTGCAGTTCCGCCTCCAAGCACTGTATACAACAGCCCTTATTTGACAGTAATTTGAGCGTTCTTCTTCTTCATGATTCCAGTGCATAGGAGTATTGTTTTTTTGCATCGTAAAACGCAGGAATGCACACTCGATTCACCGTTATTGCCCCTGTTTATGTTCATCAATTTATTATCTTTCTTCACGAAATTAATTAGCAGATGCTGTTTCCTGCAGGGATTGTGTGAAGGCAGTCAACCCATCAAAATAAAGATCCCATTTTTATGGGACCTTGTCAAAATAAGCGTCCCGTAGGTGTTTACCCCGCCATAATTAAGCTCCGCTGAGAACTTGACATTTATTCCCCCCGGGGGTGAAAAGTTAGATATTGCATTTCTCTTTAACATGTTAAAGCGGCATACAGACGTGATGGCAGTTCGTTAGTTTGTATAAATATGCGTGTGAATATTCGCAAGTGAGCAACAAGCAAGATAGTGGTTTGCCCCATGGCTTCAAATCCGTTCTCAACCCCACAGACGCTCGCAATGTTAAAGACGCCGTAAATCCTGCCAACAGTACATCGACTGTTCTTATTATCACTACTGTATTGTGTTAATATTTTGCAACGGTCACAAAACGACAATATTCTGCATTCCATCGCGTACGTGATGCTTACAGAGGGAAATAGAACCAGACTAATGGACTTCAATTGAGGCGTTTTTTTTTTTATTTGAGTGTAATTTTGCTTCATCCGATTCTCGCCAAATATCAGATGAAGACGACACGAGAACCGACACACCACATAATTACCGACGCCACCTTTCCATGACCAACCGGTGCAGGGACGACCCTGGATCGCGCTGGGATCCGTGTCCCACACACCGTCACTTGATGAGACACGAAGCTGGCACGGACCGAGCACTTAGCACAGTAACTGCCCTCCCCCACTACCCACCCCCTGCTGACCCCGACCTTTCCACACGATGATGAGCCACTTTGTTGAGCTATCATTTGTGGCCAGGTCGCTTCTGAAAAAAAGCTCTGTAGCTCAGCGGGCCTTACCTGGTAAAATAAAAAAAACAATAGTTTAATTTAGTTCCTGCAGCCGATGGAAAACCTCCCACGTGGCTGGATCGAATGTGCCAGTGGAAAAAGCGGTATTGGTCGGATTGCCCTGGAAAACGCAAGCCTGGTTTTCAAACCGAGCCGTCCCACTTCCCAGTGGTCATGGAAATGCGCTGTGAGCATCTAACGCGGAAAGGAGTATGCCAACACTCAAGGACACATGTACGTTTTAAATGCGCGCGTCGTCCGAAAGACCGCGTGAAAAGCATCATTAACTCGCGAGATGACACGCTCGCGGTTTCCTTGTTGAAGTGTAATTTACCGAGAGAAAAGATGGTGACAACGACGCTGTCTTGCCAAGGCTGACCGATTTACATGTCGCATCACTGCACGGTCACGATAACGCTATCGTCATATAAATATCACGCGCACGAGCACACACACACACGCACACAAACAACAATGCTAACTAGAAGTTATGTTTCAGCAGCAGCAGCATCAGCAGCAAGAAGCTGTTAAAAAAGAAACACATTCAAAATTTGCAGCACATTTAACACGACGGAGAGATTTGAGGTGGATTCATCGTCTCAGAAAACTATACCTTTGGAACGGCCGGTCGATCTAAGATTTTTTTTTTAAATGGAGCGGTGATTGTAGCCACGGCACACCAAGCGTCTGTATTGCACGTAACTCTTCTTTGTGTTGGCACGAGATTGCCGCGCAACGGCAGCTCCATCTTCACATCTCGAGCTTTGAGTTTGCCCGCAAGGACCGCCGCTGCAAAAACTTCGCCCGCTAAACGTCGCGCGGGCGGGTCAGCGGGGGGCAGGGGGCAACCTCCTTCGCCAGGAGCGCCCGTGCGATGGAACTCGCGCCCTCTCGTCAGATCGCGGGTCCGCACACACGCAGACAGAGACACGGATACCTCGGCAATAATAAAAGATATTTTCGTTCACATTACCACAACGCGTTTAGTTATCCGTGAACCTTCATCGGCAACATCTGGCTCTTAACGCCCCCCCCCCCCCACCAACGGCACTTACAGTGAAGCGATTGAACCTCACGGTGCGGGCGGGGGGGAGGGCAGGCTGGTGGGTTCCGAGAACCCTCAATCCATCAAACAGCGACCCACGCGAGGAAGGAAGGTTCTTTCACGACATCTTTTGCGGTGCATCCCGCGAGTCTCCGGCGCGCGGATCCGCCGATCCCGCGGGGGCCTTCCGGCGCTCCTTCACATGAGCACGCAGCTCTTGGCGCGCTCCTTGCGCGCCACGCGCTGCTGCGGCATGGGAGTCTCGCGCGGCGTCTGGGACGCCGCGGCGACGGCGGCGGCGGCGGTGGACGCCTCGAGCCGGGAGCGGCCGCGTTTGAGTAGGTGCCGCGGCAGGCGGCCGAGCGCGGCCAGCGTGGCCATGTGGAAGACGTCGCGCACGCTGTTCTCCGAGAGCTTCGCCGAGCACTCCACGTAGGCCGCCGCGCCGAGCTGGCGCGCCGCCACCGCCCCCTGCGGACGGCACGTGTCGGGGGCGTGAAACGTCGGCAGGCCCCCCCCCCCCCCCCCCCCCCCGGACGCTTTGGCACGGCGGCCGATCTCCCAGGGGAAAGGCGCTCGGAAAGAATTGGACTTTTGTAATTAACGTGGATACTTTTCAGCGGAGAGCGGGCAAAAAGAATGGACGAGGAATACTGATGGGGGGGGGGGGGGGGTGGCGAATGCAGGGCTTAAGTTTCTCAATTGAATATCCTCGAGCCGACTGGAAGTGGCTAAGTGACGATGAGAAGTCGCGGCCATTGTGAGAGGAAGACTCAATGTGGTGTGCCTGATGGGAATATATTTGTCTGGGTCGCTGGTAGACTGGCATAGGTGGCTCATAACTATAATCCGAAAGGGCTGGTGGGGGAATCAGTGGTAGGTTACTGGGAGAGGTTTATTGGATGTTGTGTGCTGGGTGTGGAAATACTTTTATGGTGGCCAACCTGGATGGACCCTGCTGAAATGCACGCCTGGAAGTGGCGAGTTGTCGTGGGATTTTTATTCGCCTTGGGCACCGTTTGTAAAGAGCCAAGAGGGACAGTTGCTGACATGCTGACAGAGTCCATAATTGCGTTGCTGCGAAGAAGCGCGACTGTGTTATTTCAACGTGTATGGAGGACAAATTGCAAATGTATTGAATTCTGTTTTAATGGGTTTGCTTTTTTTCCTTTGTTTTGGCAAAAATGCTTATCCAAGCAACGGTGCAGAATTCTTGGTTAACTTTGCGAACCCCCTCCCTCCCCATCTCCGATGCAAGCAACTCAATGCTTTGAAACGCGTTCAAAAAGCCTTCCTAGGCTCTGGCAGCTCTCTCTGGGGCACCGGGTCCCACACTCCAGCTCAATAGGCCCATTCATTTGAATGATTCTCATGGTCCCAAAGGCTCCGACAAGGTAAGCCAAGCTGCCAGGGCTGAGTGAAGCAATGACTTGGGGGGGGGGGGGGGGGTGGAGTAGAAACACTAGATGCAGCTCTCAGGGGTGCCTTACAAACAGTAATAAAAATAATAACATAAATAAATCAAATAATAGCAATAATAATTTCAGGCCCTTGTCAATCCATTGTTGGATGAAGGCCATAACTTCAACATACTGGTCAATGTGGAATGGTGAAGAGTGGTGGGAGAGGGTGGACTTGCATAGAACCAGTTTCAGATATCTCTCGCATCTCGTGTTAGCCATGGCTGGGAATCTAGCTCGTGTTAGCCATGGCTGGGAATCTAACTCGTGTTAGTCATGGCTGGGAATCCAACTCGTGTTAGCCATGGCTGGGAATCTAGCTCGTGTTAGCCATGGCTGGGAATCTAACTCGTGTTAGCCATGGCTGGGAATCCAACTCGTGTTAGCCATGGCTGGGAATCTAGCTCGTGTTAGCCATGGCTGGGAATCTAACTCGTGTTAGTCATGGCTGGGAATCTAACTGGTGTTAGCCAAGGCTGGGAATCTAACTCGTGTTAGTCATGGCTGGGAATCTAACTCGTATTAGTCATGGCTGGGAATCTAACGCGTGTTAGTCATGGCTGAGAATCCAACTCGTGTTAGTCATGGCTGGGAATCTAACTCGTGTTAGTCATGGCTGGGAATCTAACTCGTGTTAGTCATGGCTGGGAATCTAACTCGTGTTAGTCATGGCTGGGAATCCAACTCGTGTTATTCATGGCTGGGAATCTAACTCGTGTTAGCCATGGCTGGGAATCTAACTCGTGTTAGCCATGGCTAGGAATCTAACTCGTGTTAGCCATAGCTGGGAATATAACTCGTATTAGTCATGGTTGGGAATATAACTCGTGTTAGTCATGGCTGGGAATCTAACTCGTGTTAGCCATGGCTGGGAATCTACTCGTGTTAGTCATGGCTGGGACTCGAACTCGTGTTAGTCATGGCTGGGAATCGAACTCGTGTTAGTCATAGCTGGGAATCCAACTCGTATTAGTCATGGCTGGGAATCTAACTCGTGTTAGCCATGGCTGGGAATCGAACTCGTGTTAGTCATGGCTGGGAATCTAACTCGTGTTAGCCATAGCTGGGGATATAACTCGTGTTAGTCATGGCTGGGAATCCAACTTGTGTTAGTCATGGCTGGGAATCCAATTCGTGTTAGTCATGGCTGGGAATCTAACTCGTGTTAGTCATGGCTGGGAATATAACTCGTGTTAGTCATGGCTGGGAATCCAACTCGTGTTAGTCATGGCTGGGAATCTAACTCGTGTTAGCCATAGCTGGGAATATAACTCGTATTAGTCATGGCTGGGAATCCAATTCGTGTTAGTCATGGCTGGGAATCTAACTCGTGTTAGTCATGGCTGGGAATCCAATTCGTGTTAGTCATGGCTGAGAATCTAACTCGTGTTAGTCATGGCTGGGAATATAACTCGTATTAGTCATGGCTGGGAATATAACTCGTGTTAGTCATGGCTGGGAATCTAACTCGTATTATTCATGGCTGGGAATCCAACTCGTGTTAGCCATAGCTGGGAATCTAACTCGTGTTAGTCATGGCTGGGAATCTAACTCGTGTTAGTCATGGCTGGGTATCTAACTCATGTTAGTCAAGGCTGGGAATCTAACTCGTGTTAGTCGTGGCTGGGAATCTAACTCGTATTAGTCATGGCTGGGAATCCAACTCGTGTTAGCCATAGCTGGGAATCTAACTCGTGTTAGTCATGGCTGGGAATCTAACTCGTGTTAGTCATGGCTGGGAATCTAACTCATGTTAGTCATGGCTGGGAATCTAACTCGTAGTAGGCCATGGCTGGGAATCTAACTCGTGTTAGTCATGGCTGGGAATCTAACTCGTGTTAGTCATGGCTGGGAATCTAACTCATGTTAGTCATGGCTGGGAATATAACTCAGGTTTGCCGGGTTTGTAGTGCAGCACGCTAACCACTGCGCGGCCATTCTACCCGGATAAAATAACTCGTGCGCCAATTTTTGCAATACTGAAATTACATAAAAAATGCATTAATTATCATTCACAACAGTTAATTTTTACCGAGAGCTATCTTTGCTTTACGTTTCACAGCAGGAACGCTCAAGTACGTTCAACAGAACCAAGGGCAGGTGGATGATGAGTGGGTTGTGACCAGGAGAATGACCCAATAGCAGAACCACCACCCCCACCCTTCACTAGAAATGGTACAAGCCACAGCTAATTAGAAAGTGCCCAGCTCAATGAGGGCCTTTGTACAGACTGGCAGGTGAAGGTATTGACGACAGAGAAAACGGAGATACCATCTTAACCTTGGTGGCTTTGTTAAAATCCGATAGGTCATTCTAAATCCCTGTGACCTGGTTAAATTCCCCGTCGCGAGGCTGGTTTATTAACTGAAGTTCATTCTCCCCGTGTTGTGCGGTAGATATCCACCTCTTAAACCAAGGCATTCCGCTGCTGTGCAAACAAAGCAAACAGAACATGTTTCAAAGTTGGCATTCACTGCTGTGCAAACAAAGCAAAGCAAACGTGTGTAGTATGGCATGCGTTTGCCTCCCTTGCAAGCAGGGCCAGCCAGAGGTTTCTGGAGGCCCGTGGTGGAATAACTGGTGTGGGCCTCCTTATTCCAGAATGAATCATAATCTCGATGTACCCTCGAGCAATCCGATGAGCTATGAAGGTCTTTTTTCACAGATGTCCCCTCGGGGCGGGTCAGAAAGTTACAACAACAAACAATGCAACAACAATGAGAGGAGTGCTAAGCATAGGAAAGGTAAACAAACCACAACTAAATAAACACGACATTATTATTATTTGACGAGGTAAGTCCCATTGAGCTATCAGTTATTTTTCATCAGGAACCTAGCCGCCAATGCTAGCTCAACGAGGTGGCTTGTCGCGTGGAAATCTATAGCAGCTAAATACTCGAGAAATGCATGTTTTTTTTTTATTCCACCACCGACAGGCCTGGAGTGTGGGGGCTCACTTTGTGCCAGGCCCAGGGAACGTTGTCTTTATTGCCTCCCCACCGCCACCTCCCCTCCCCTCTCTCTGTGTGGCCCTGCTTGTAAGCTGCATTGGAGATCATTTTAAAAACACACATAGGGGGTCTTATTTCTTTCAGAAAGTAAAATCATTCAGATGGTGATAAGCAATCCATTTGGCAGAAGGACTTGATGAACTGTCCGATGTTGTTCCAACAATAATAACTCCACTAAAGGGAAACAATAAAATATAAAACAACAAAATTCTCACGACCTTTCGACTGCAACACATGGCTGTGGTTTTCACACCTGATGATGATTGCTTGTGTTGCAGTCGAAACGTCGTGAGAATTTTATTGTTTTATATTTTTATTATTTTATTGTTTCCCTTCTACGTGGTGACTTTACCGAAAGAACCAAGAATATGAATCCCTGCTGTCACGAAAGCTTTAAATCAAAATTTAAACTCCACTAAAATTACATCATAATCCTTTCATCGTGCTTGCTCTCCCGACGTACATTTAATTTAATTTCTCAATCGCTCAGGAGACACTTGAGGAATATCGCACACCTCCCTCGTGCTAATGGGAAGATCAAATTGGGGGGGGAGGGGCTAAGTGGCTCTCTGTTAACGGTGAAATGAGACAGGGCGATGATGGTGATGATGCTTAATGATTTATGACAGTCTCGGAACTTTTGCTCCGCCATCTGCTAGGACTTCTATTTTGATAGGGCACGACGTGTTTGTTGCCTTTGTTTGGCCGAATATCCTTGACATTCCTCTGATGCAGCAGCAGCAGCATGTGCAGTTGTCAGCCGTCGTCCCCCCACTGCCACAGAACCAACTCAAACCCCTTCCAGTTTTGTGATTCCCCCCCCTGCCCCCCCCCCAATTCCATATCTCCAACTCCACCTTTCCCCCACGCCCAAGCGACATCCCATCCCCCCCCCTCTGCACCCCCAGTAAATATATCGGCATAACGCAACTTATGCGATTGAATAATCAACGACGAAGAAAGAAAAACTACAAACAAATTGCGTCTGGCCCGATGTGAATATTTTCGGCAAGTTAAAAAAACCCAGCATCTGCGACTCTAAATATTTAATGTGAGCCATAATTTGTACATTATGTATACAAGCCGCAGGTGAAATCCCTACCTTGGAAACAGTAATTACGTGTGTATATCGTTTCGTGCACATGCAGGGTATGAAAATAATATATATTTTTAAGAGTATTTATTACACTCTAGAAAAAAAAAAATCATTGCAAACCACACACGTGCGATTAACCGCATTTGCCGATGCAAAAGCCCATCAGCGCCGCTTTAATGTCCGTGGCTAAGCGCGGGGGCTAAGGGGGCCGGGGGGGGGGGTCCCCTGTCTGTGGGGCAGCTCGTGGTGATAAGCCAGCGCCTGCCACACCCCACACCTCGGTGTCTTTGCTCTCTGCAGGGCGACGCTCGCCGTCGTTCCAGGGGGGGGTGTAGCGATGTGGGTTGCTGGGTAGATAGGGAGCTCGGGTTGTATGTATATTGAACTTCTTTCACACCGTACGTAGCCAACCATGCTCATCGGAGGTGCGGGTTGACAAGGGGGTGGTGGTGGTGGGGGGGGGGGGGCGAGGTGTAGCGATGTGGGGGAGAGTGGGGGCTCAGGCTGATGGGGGGGAGGGGCCCAGGCTGATTGGGGGGGCTAAGGTTGATGGGGGGAGTCGGGGGCCAGGTGTAGGGATGGGGGGAGAGTGGAGGCTCAGGCTGATGGGGGTGGGGGGGGGGGGTGAGGTGTAGGGATGTGGGTTGCGGGGGGGGGGGGAGAGAGAGGGGGCTCGAGCTGACGAGGTGAGGGGGTGGGGGTTGCCGAGGTGCAGGGATGTGGGCTGAGGGATGTCGGGCCGTGGTGCTGGATGGCACGAGGCAGCGTGCTGCCCTCCACCCCTCGCCGCGTGTGCTCACGTCACCTGCTCCTGCGTGACGGGGATGCGGCGCTGCTTGGAGAGCTCGAGTAGCGTGGCCAGGTCGACGCGCAGGTCGGCCTTGCAGCCGATGAGCAGCACCTTGCTGGAGGAGAACTCCTGCGACTCCGCCTGCCACTGCACACCGAGCGCAGCGCGCAACCGCCACACGCCCCCCCCCGCTAAGTCAGCGCTTATTTGAAAGAGCTCCCAATTTTTGGCGAAGGGCTTAATAACTGAGAGCATGAAATCCGAATGTAGCGTAGGTAACCGATTACTAAGACAGGCTGTGCACAGTGGCACTGCGGTCAGCATGGGCCCTGGTGCAAGCGATTAAATAAACGATCAAAAACGATATTCTTAGCTCTTTCGGTAAAGTCACGTTGAAGGGAAACAATAAAATAATGAAATATATATAAAACAATAAAAATTCTCACGACGTTTATATATATTTTATTATTTTATTGTTTCCCTTCAACGTGACTTTACCGAAAGAGCTAAGAATATGAATTACTGCAGTCACGAAAGCTTTAAATCAAGATCAAATACTATTAAACTATTTTTAGTGTACCGGGTGAGTCCCACTGATATATAGAGCTCTTTTTTTCAGAAACGATCTGGCCACAACCGATAGCCCAGCGAAGTGGCTTGTCACGTGGAAATGTATATCTGCCAAATACTCTAAACGTGTGACGTTGATTATGAACTTGGCGCCCAAATAAATAAATAAATAAGTCTTCGCTATCGTCCCTCCTCTGCCTCCCCCCCCCCTTTGTAGCCCGGTGCCCGAGCCCCTCAGGCTAATGGGGCCCGGTGCAAATGCCCCGCCCGCACACTCGGACGCTGCGTCACCGACCACACGGGTGATTGACAGGGGAATGCGTTCCACTCTTCGCACGGATGGCTCACGTTGCCAGTCGCATTGCCACCTCTTCAGGGACAAAAAGGCCAAGACCTGACTATGGCGAGAAGAATATCTCACAATACCACAAGAGAGGAGGGCTACCTGTAAATGCATTGTCTCGAGTGGTGCATTATTATTGTTATTACGAGCTACCAAGGAATTTTTGTTGTTGCAATAACCGCATTGGCAGCGCTGCACTAGCACACAACAACAAAAACTCAACACATGGCGACAATAACACTGCCATAAAAATTAAACTAACACGAGAGGCGAAGTTTTGGACAACGCTGTTCTCCTTGATACGTGTGCTGCAGAAGCAGGGCCATTGCCCTAAACGTCGTGTACTACATACAGACGCTCATTTTATTTTCTAGCCCACAGTGTTATTGTTGGGAGTGCTGAGCATCCGTGAAATCCAGGACACGTGGCATCCCTAGCTGGTGGCAACCCTAGCTGCCAGCAGCCGGAGCAGCCTTGCGGGAACGAGGAAGGACCGACGGGGGAACGAGGAAGGACCGACGGCGTCGTGGCAGCGTCTGCTTATTTCGCTTCTACTATTTATGAACTTATTTTATTTATCACACGTGCACCAGAAGGCGCGCTGAGGCGTGGGCGCGTTCTGGGGCAGTGCGGTGCCAGGCAAAGGGGACAAATGGGGGAGGCGGACGTGGAGATTTGGAGCCGCGAGTGACGTCGGGGAGTGGGGGGTGTGGGGGGCGCTCAGGGAACGGAAGGGGGAGCGGCTGGTGTCCCGTCAGGGAATGCCGCAACGTCAGTTTGCGAGGCGATGGGCGAAGCGCGGGCGTGACAAGGCGCTGAAGGGACGAGACGTATCGGCCTTCGGGAGACGGAGAAGGGGCACACGAGAGGATGGGCGTAGAGGGGGCTCCATCAGGGTTTTTTTTGGGGTTAGATTGCGTAAATATATAATTGTGTTGTAAAACCAGCCACCACCCGACCCAGCAAATTGGTAAGGTTTGTCACGTAAACGGAACATGACAATTCGTTATACTGGGGAGCAAAGCCACCACATTTACAATCCGAGTACGACGTTTCGCCAGTAATTACAACCAGCTTCATCAGGCGGCAGCCAGACTTGTGGCTAGAGAGGGCTTGCCAGCTTCAGGAGACCGAGAAGGGGCACACAAGAGGACGGAATTAGAGGGGAATTAGAGGGGGCTGCCACCAGTGCGGGGCAGGAGGAGGGAGATGAAGCATACGGTGGGTGGATCGAGATATGAGGACAGCGGGGCTGTGACGAGGGAAGAGGCACAGAATAGGAGCGCGTGGAGAGAGAAAAAATATTCGAGCGGTCGAACTACCTCCGTGCAACAAGGGAACTTCCAGTGGAGAAGCAGGAGGAGGACGAGGAGGGCACTGTGACCGTGACTTGCACTGCGGTGAATTACTCTGGTTTAAACTCGTGGCAGTGTGAACGTAGAATGAGAATAAAGTAATAAATTAATAAAATAACACGATTAAATTCTCACGACGTTTTGGCCACAACACAAGTGGCCTTCTTCAGGTGAAAGGAACAGACCTGTCGGGACGACAGAGCTTCAATGTCAGGTGAAAGGAACAGACCTGTCGGGACGACAGGTCTGTTCCTTTCACCTGAAGAAGGCCACTTGTGTTGTGGCCGAAACGTCGTGAGAATTTTATTGTGTTATTTTATTTTATTAATGTATTATTTTATTCTCATTCTACGTGACTTTACCGAAATAACCAAAGAAGAAGTGTGAACGTGTTTAGTTTAACACTTCAATTAGCGGCATTATCAAGCAACTACAACACATTTACACGATCGCCATCATTCTTTGTCTTACCTCTACTCAGGGACAATAATGCTTCCTTTCTGTAGGCCTTTTTAGAATATAAACTCAGGACATTTCTTCAATAAACATATTTCGTGAATAGAACAAAGAGCTTCAGGAAGTCTGTCAAGCGTCAGTTACAGCTGTAACAAAAATAAACAAACATCCAACCCATAAGCCAGATGTTTCATACGTCTAGATAGTGCCTTCGAATAAAATGACACTGTGCAGGCGTTGGCGGTTCTACCACCGTGCAGCTCTCCGATGCGCTATGTCCGACGTTTCGCTGCACAACCTGTGAGCTTTGGACAGCAGCAACCAGGCACAAACACACGGGAGAGCTATTGCAACGAGATGCCTTCTAAATGGCGTCCCCCCCCCCTCCGCGGCAGTCGGGGCGGCGAAAGAGATGGCAGCGCGTTGAGTGTGATCGGTTTGCACCTCATTAGAGTTCGAGAAGGCCTGGCGTCGGCAGACGTCAGCGTGAACGCTTCGCCGCTCGCGTCTAACGTGGTGGAAGGCGGACAATTGAGCGCCTATGCCGTGGACGCGAGCTCGCACCAGCAGGGAGTACGCGACTGCGGGCAAGAACAACCGAGGTACAAAACAAATAAAAAACCTCTCGAGGCAAGACGTCGACTGCACGGGCTCCTTGCGAGAGGCGTGAGGCGCGCGGGAGCCAACGAACGACGTTTGCATCGGCCGTGGAGCAAAACCGCCTGCGATGCGCCACGGGTCTCGGAAAGCTCAGCGAGTTTGAGCCTCGGACAGGGCACGGATGCGTGACCACTGTGGCGCAAAAAAAAAACACACACACAGGCCTTGCAGGTTGCACTCTCCCCGCTTTGACAAACGCGAACGACCGAGCGCCCAGACGCATGGTCAAATAACCGGCATGTTACAGGGCTGCCATCATCCAGCAGTGGATTGACAACGGGGCTGTACAGGTGCGCGGATGCTACAAATACTGTACGCAGGAATTCCGATTGCTCTCAAAGCGCGCCTCCAGTGTTACGGTCGAGCAAGCATTATGCAAAGCGCCGTCAGGGCGCCTGAATGAAGGCGGAGGTGGTGAACAGGATATTCAGAGTCGCTCACCGACAGATGTGCCCTCAAGAGGCCCTTGTCCTCCCAAGGGTGCGGGGCGCAGCGTCACCGGAATGGAGAGCGATTGTCTGCAGACCGTGGGTGACCCAATCAATCGAACCTCCACAACCACCGGCGACATTTCTCGAGATTAGTTTTTGAATGCCGCCGTTACAGCAGCAGCTGTTCGTCGCAGCCCGATGTGCCTTTTTTTTACGATAAAAGTATTGCGGGCGGACAGACGAACAGAGTCTGGATAAGCGGCTCTGCTTTTGCAGCTCTTCCCATGTGTTGTTCGGGTCGCGCCTTGTGATGCTCCGCACTGCATTCGACGTTTCGCTTCACGCGCTGGGAGCTTCTTCGTGAACTAAAATTAAAAGTCAACTATTTTTTATTTTTTCCAGGTATGGCCCGCTGAGCTATGTAGCTCTTTTTCAGAAGCGACCTAGCCACAAATGATAGCTCAACGAAGTTTGCTTAACGCGTGCAAATCTATTGCAGGCCACATACTCGAAACGCATGCGTCTAAATGTGGAGGGGAAACACTGGAAGACCCAGAGACAAGTCCACACGACCACGGAGAGAGAGACACGCAAGCTCAAAGTATACAGCAGGCGTCAGGGTTGGGATCGAACCCATGAACTCCTGCATACCAGGCAAGGTGGTTAACATCCCGCCACCGTGGCACCCTAAAATCAGAACGACCTGAAAACGCGTCGTGGAGGCTACAACAGCTCAACCGCAATAACCTGCATAGCCGTGGCTCAGACAAATAAAAATACGAAACAACATCTCATGCCAAACGACGTGGCAAGCGAGGTTCGCCCTCTTTCAAAAAACGAATGCACGATGGGCGCATTGTTCGGTGGACACTTCACGGATAAGGGGCGCAACAGGTCAGCAGATGTCTATCGGCATGTGCGAGCGAGCGAGCGCGAGAGCAGCGGTTGAGGGAGATCGCTGTTTAGGAGCCGGGCAGATTCAGGGGGCAAATGAACTGCAGTTTATTTGTAGGGCAGCGGTAACAACGATGAACACCGTGGAAGTCACTACGCCGCCGCCGCCGCCACAGCGTTGTAAATGAGCCACTTAGCAGCGCTGCGGTGGCCACACTCTCAAATGTCGGGCCCGCGAAGATCACAACCGATGGTTGTATATATATTTTTTTCCAATGGTCCGGGTTTGATGATGCGTGACTTAGGTGCCCGTGACGTGAAGGCAGTAGCGTGTTCAGCTAAGAATTTTCCGGATGGGTCAAACAATTGTTCGTGGACATCGACGGGGGATGGATACCGCAAGGAGGTTACTACGAAAGCTGAAGCAATGGAAACTGACACACGCTAGACAGAAAAGAGGAAGACCTCAGAGCAGATGGCAAGGCACAGCAAACAAGAGATTTGGCATAACGCGGTCAATAACAACAGCAGCAGTGAAGGAGGTGGAAGGCCGGAAGCGGCAGAGAGGAACTCACGTGAAAAGCATGTGCGGAAAGCAGAAATGCTACCTGATGATGTAAAATAACTCTTTTCATTGTTGAAATTTTACATTAATGAAAAATAAAAAATTAAAAATTAACAAAAATGGTCCATGATGCAGAGTGCCTGTCTAAAATGTCTGGGGGGAAACTTTCCCGTTTGCTCCCCCGCATCACCCCCTACCCCCCCCCTCCTAGGTGTGCTTCTGCTTGGACGAGGGGTTGGTGGATAACGGTGAGATAATGAGCTTGACACAACTATCAGATGGCGCAGCAAAGTGACCGTTATACGTTGAAATGACACCATATTTTATAAGGCCTCCTCAGTGTGGTCTCCAGTTGCCTGGGTGCAAAGTGTGCCAAGTTTTGCTCAATCCTGACCGGCTCACTAAAAATACTTAATGAATACTAACTCACCTATCTCGGCTAACTCAGGGCAACACGGGGAGATTATTCAACAGAGACAAATAAAGAAGTCTTTTGGCATATTCGACGAGATCGTACCGCGAAGCGCAAAGCACAGGCTATCAATCCGGTCAAGTGGGAGGCGAGTGCCGTAATTGGAAGGAAATGCAAAAATATATCACCAAAAACTTTTACAAACAAAAAACGTCACAAGATAAACAGGCAAATTTGTCACTTGGGGTTGGTGCATTGTAATAATTGGCACATTTTCGCAGATTTATTTTCAGTTTCATGCAAACTTAAACTTTAAAGCGAATTTATAGTTTTCCAGTGATGGACGCAGGACCTCCGGCTACCGGTTTATTGATAACCAAGCCGCGTCGCTGAATTTCGGGCAAAATAACAGTCAACGGATAATGACTGCCCGCGAAAGGGAACATTGGGCACTTTAAAGCCAGACTCTCAAATGTTCTCCCCTGGAAAATTGTAAAACAAATCATGACTAAACTATTTAAACTAAACACATTTTTTTCTATTTTACCCACTGAGCTATGCAGATCTTTTTTCAGAAGTAACCATCCCACAAATGATAGCTCAATGAAGTGGCTTATCATGTAGAAATTTATAGCAGCCAATTACTCTAAACGCAATGTTTTTTAAATGTGGAGGGAAAAAACGGAGGACCCAGACAAAAAATCCATACTACCAGGGGGAGACCATGCGAATTTCAAATATAGAGCAGCAGGCGTCATGGTCGGGATTGAACCCACGACCTCCTGTATACCAGGCGAGGGAGTTAACATCTTGGCACCGCAGTGCCCCTGTGACCTCTGCACATGCGCAAGTACGACCTTGTTTGTCAATCCACTGCTGGATGATGGGTGTCCTATAATCCAGTGCGGGTCATGCGGGTTATTTGAACGTACGTGACCACGCTGGTTGGTGCGGTTTGGTGGAGCAATAATAAAACAAATCTTTGTAAAATGATATCTTCTTTATTTTTACTTGGATTGAACATGTTTCAAGGCTGGTAAGCAGGCTTGAGCCTGGATAGTACTTGGATGGGTGTTTGCCATAGGGCCTGGTGGGCTCTATGTTGTGGGTAGCGGAGAGCAGTGAAGCAGAATCCATTGTTGTACTGTACTTCTACATTTCCACGACTATGCTCCCTGCCTTCACCAATCAATACGCACTGACCAGAGTGATGAGGAGGCAATGGATTGGCATACAGGGGCTGTCATGACTGGTCATATGATTTGTTTTGTGAGCTAACCGCTCACTTCAAATTAAATCCTCAACTTTTCGGTTCCGTTTTCATTAAAATAAAATTCAACCCAAGTTACCGGGGATATCTCCCGCGATAACACGAGGCTGACCAGCAGGCTATCGAGTTCACGTGGGAAATCCACGTGAACTCACCCGCAAAGAGCCGCCCTTAATGGATGCCGTTAGAGTTTGTTAATGGTTTACCGGTGACTCTCCCCGTCCTTCCATGCAGTCAATCTCAGCAGCAGCTGCCGGCCGTTAGCTGTGGGACAGTAGGACACACGACGGCTGTGCAGCTGTTCCCTGTGACCCTCTTTGTTTAACGTTACATTGAGCGACGTAATTTTACTCGCCATCCGTCGGCAAGGTAAGCCACTCCTGTAGGCCTCTGTAAATAAACGCGCCGTGTTTGGTAAGCGCTGGTATCTTAGCTAAACTAAACCAAACTTTTAATATTTACCAGGTAAGGCCCCACTGAGCTATGTTTCAGAAGCGACCTGGCCACAAATGACAGCGAGACGAAGGGGCTTATCGTCCGGAGAAAAATCCACGAGACCACGGGGAGAGAGACACGCAAACTCCAAATATGCAGCTACGGTAAAACTGTGCTGCTGCAGTGAATGTTTATCGGGAGACGGCTTTTTTTCTTTTTGTAAAACATAAAAAAGCATCTCTACGGTACGGCCGCTATGGAGCAGCGAAAGCAGCTCGTGTGCAGATGGTTAAGTGGACCGTTACATCACGGGACCGGGAGCAATAGGGCAAGGGCTTGGGGAGGCCTTCATCCAGCGGTGGATTGATTTTACTGGCGATGCTGACGACGATGCACATCATTGATAACCGCATTTCAGAGCCGAAACTTGTTACAGTGACCTTATTAACGGAGGTGGGAAGAATCACTCAAAAGTGCTTTGCACTCGAGCATGATGGTGGTGTCCATTTATTTTTGGCCAACGTGTCTATCCGGCATACTTATTTCACGGTTATTTCATGGACGCGAGTTGAAACTTTCCGATGGGGGCCAGACCCCGGCAGATTTGACGCACAATCCTTCGCACGATGCGGGTCTCTCGTTGCGCCGAAGCTTCTTGACGAATCTGTGCACGCGGCGCTATCCATTGCGCTCCCAATTGCTCTATTCCATCAGCGCAAGCGTTCAATGGGTTAGTGCGCGCGCTTCAGAGATGTTTAATGAATTGCACTGCAATGCCATTTGCTGTCGATTATCCCTTTAAATGCCACGGCCGACTCAGGCTCCCCAAGTTGTTATTTAAGGAAACTAAATAAATTAAACAAATTGTTTGGTGATGCAGCTGCATCGGTGGAAGTGCACAAGCATAGCCAACGACAAAAAAAAAAACTCAACACATCCGTCAATTAACCCCCTGCCACTCAATGAAACGTATACAATGGGTGACGTTTCGAGCAAACGATCCTTCTTTGTAGCACGTGAATTGATGAAATGCTGTTCTTACAAAGGATCAAAACTCAACTTCGGTAAACCTAACCCCCTGCGGAATAAACACAGGGGGTGAAAGGTCATCTGTTTATGTCCCAACGTCTAAACGCCGTCGGCGCACAGGTGTGCGGATGTTGATCGCGACACACCTGGCCCGGTCCGCTTTCACAAGTGCTGACGCACGCGCGTGCACACAATACTTTCCCTTCTTTTCTTCTCCCGCAGAAGAAAAAAAAAACAAACGCCGACCGCTGCTCCGCGAGCGCTCAGCCGGCACCTTGCAGCCCAACAGCCCACGTGAGCGCTCTCTCTCCTCCCAGCCAACGATGACGACGGCCCCCGGCGACGTGGGCAACACAGAGCGGCGGCGAGCGGTTCTACGCCTCCTCCTCCTCCTCCTCCGCCACCACCGCCGTGGCGTTTCCGTGCCGCCGCGTGGCAGTGGCACCGATCGCCGCTGTAACCGCCTCGGCCACGAGCAAGCAGGCACAGGCCGTGCCCGCGGCAAACGCCGGATTACGGCGTAGATTTACGGTGCGGCCGCGGTTTGCATTAACGGATTTATTCAAAGTGATGGCTCCATTCGTCATGGGAAAGCTTCAATACGGGGCCAAGGCATTCACTGCTTGCCCACGTGCGTGCGTGCGCGCGTGTGGCGGGTGCATGCATCATCGCGCGTCTTGTGACACAGCGGGCACGCGTGGGGCTGCTGCCTCAGCGGTGAGCAACGCGGCGTTTAAATTCGGCACGCGTGCACGAGCGATTGTGTTGTACGTGTATCTATCTGGGATGCTGCCACAGTTGTGTAATGAGTAGCAGTTACATTTTGACCGAAAACTTTCGTGACTGCAGGAACTCACATTCTTGGTTGTTTTCGGTAAAGTCACGTAGATAGAAATGAAAATAAAAAATAAAGTTTTAAATTAAAGCAAAACACCCACGACGTTTCGACCGCGAGACCGCTTGCGTTGCGATCGAAACGTCGTGGGTTTTTTGCTTTTATTTTTTTTATTTTGTTTTCTATCTACGTGACTTTACCGAACGAACCTAGAATATAATGAGTAGCACACTGGACGTGCGATCCAGAGGTCGCTGGGTCAGCTCAATCTCCCGGCGCGGCGGTGTGCAGGTTGCTGGAATCCTGCCGCCACTCCCCCACTCCCACTCCCCACCGTCGCTCGCCACCCAGCAAAACCGCGGTTAGTTGGTTGGCAGCTCGCGCGTGGTGGGGTAAGGTGTGGGTAGACCCGCATCTTCCAAGACACGTGCGCCAGTGTGGAGGAGTAGGCCAAAACATTCTCCAGCGCAGCAGCGCGAGCAAAGCAATTGCGGGGCCTGCGCTTTTGCCGCCTTGTTACCGATGCAGGAACGTGCCTGTGCCCGTACACGCGGGCCGCACTCACTTTCTTGAGGGTGCTGTCCAGTGTCTCGGGGCGACCGACGTCGAAGCAGATGAGGACCACGTCAGAGTCCGAGTAGGCGAGTGGCCGGACGTTGTCGTAGTACGGCGACCCTCGGGGCACAGGGAAGGAACAGCAGCAGCAGATTTTAATGACGTGCTTTTGCCGCGTTGGGACACCATTAATCATGCGCAGATGTAACGTCGGCCGTACATTGCGTGCAAATGGTGACGTTCAATGCTGCGGTTGACTCATTCTCTCCAGCCTTTGTCAGCCGTGGCTAAAATATTGCCACGCATTTTAAATACCAATTCCCAAGCAGTGGCGTGAACCTGGCCACCCTAGCTTGACTCCAGGCCCTGGCGAAATGACTGGTGCTGCCTGCCCCCTCTCCCCTCCCTCCCCACCTTTCTCCAACCTCCTTTGACCAGCACGGTGAAGTATGGCCAAAACAATCCCCGCGGCTTGCACGGCATGTTGGAGGCCTTCGTTCCGCAGTGAATTGGCCGGGGCTGACATGCGTTATTTGTGAACACTTAAGTAAAGAGCCGTTTAACTTTGGCCTTCTTATTGACATGGATGTATTAATTCACAAATAAAATGGATTTGGAAGGTACGTTTCATGTGGAAAATCAATTTTAATGTCATGACTCATCCCACCATGAAGACTTAAACAGTGGTTGTTTTCCAAACGGCGAAGGACATATCCGCTTTGCGTCCGTAGCATCCATCAGATTGCCTTCTAACCAGGTTAAGTGACGGCCCCGTTAATGTTCCGCGTGTGCGTTGTGTCTAGAACGCCACGTCCCCTTGTCGGGGCGAAGCGCACGCAAAGTTGATTCATTTCCCTTGAACGCCGAAATCCCCGCTCACGTCGCGCTCGAGCTCAGCGGGTGCCCTTGGACCTCAACGGGGAGCATGAGGGGGGGGGGGGGTTGTGCCGCTCCGTAGTTCTCTGGCGCGTGGTTCGTGTCGTTACCACGTGTTGTTCGTGTCGTTACCGCGCGTTGTTCGGGTCGTTACCACGCGTTGTTCGTGTCGTTACCACGTGTTGTTCGTGTCGTTACCACGTGTTGTTCGTGTCGTTACCACGTGTTGTTCGTGTCGTTACCACGTGTTGTTCGGGTCGTTACCGCGCGTTGTTCGTGTCGTTACCACGTGTTGTTCGGGTCGTTACTGCGCGTTGTTCGTGTCGTTACTACGTGTTGTTCGTGTCGTTACCACGTGTTGTTCGTGTCGTTACCACGTGTTGTTCGTGTCGTTACCACGTGTTGTTCGGGTCGTTACCACGTGTTGTTCGGGTCGTTACCACGTGTTGTTCGTGTCGTTACCACGTGTTGTTCGTGTCGTTACCACGTGTTGTTCGTGTCGTTAGCACGTGTTGTTCGTGTCGTTACCACGTGTTGTTCGTGTCGTTACTGCGTGTTGTTCGTGTCGTTACCACGTGTTGTTCGTGTCGTTACCACGTGTTGTTCGTGTCGTTACCGCGTGTTGTTTGGGTCGTTACCACGTGTTGTTCGTGTCGTTACCACGTGTTGTTCGTGTCGTTACCACGTGTTGTTCGTGTCGTTACCACGTGTTGTTCGGGTCGTTACCACGTGTTGTTCGTGTCGTTACCACGTGTTGTTCGTGTCGTTACCACGTGTTGTTCGTGTCGTTACCACGTGTTGTTCGTGTCGTTACCACGTGTTGTTCGTGTCGTTACCACGTGTTGTTCGTGTCGTTACCACGTGTTGTTCGTGTCGTTACCACGCGACAACCCGAACAACACGTGGTAACGACACGAACAACACGTGGTAACGACACGAACAACACGTGGTAACGACCCAAACAACACGTGGTAACGACACGAACAACACGTGGTAACGACCCAAACTGTACTTGGGAAAGCTGCACCGTGGGATTGTTTGTAAGAAATATTCCCCCCCCCGTCACTTTCCTCCCTTTCCTGTGCCATGTGACAGTTGCCCACGGCCACGCAGGTCCCGTGAGTGCTGCCCCTTCACCCCGACAGCGCGCGGTTGATCAATGCCTCGAGCTGCAGTGGTGGGGCGTTCTTTTTTTTCTTTCGGTTAAGTGTCCATCACGGGACGAGAAGTATTTTAACACGAACAGCACGAGAGATGGGGGGGGGGAATTGAGGAGGCGGGGAAGGGGGGACGGAGATGGGGACGGGCAGCAGTTGGCAGGGCTGTGGGAATGGGGATATTTACTCGGCAAATGGTGTCACCCTGACCAAGGCCCAAGGGTCACAGTGAAATGCGATTACGCCGCCACAACACTGCGGGTGGGCGGGAAATCAAATTCGCCGACTTTTTCAAGTCCACGGAAACGATGATTCGCGATAACCTTTGCTCCTTGCTGCGGCGCCCCTCCGTCCCCGCCAACGAGCACGGCGCATGATCGGTGCCGCTGTGGCGGAGTATTACCACCCCCGTGGATTGCTTCGCTCGCCCTGGTGAGCCAGCGCCCACCCTGCTCTCATCTGCTATTTCTAAAGCCAAGAACGCAGCTGCGCGGTGACACTTCACCGAAGCACGACTGTGTCGTCGGCTTAAAATAAACAATCAAGTCGGACAAGGGGGGGGGAAAAAAATTGGTTCTCCAAAATAAACGAGGTAAGGCGAGGGCGAGCGAGCAGGTGGACGGGATCGCGAACGCTTATGGGGGGGGGGGGGGGGGGTAGGCGTCTGCCCCTCCGCAGGAAGTTTTAGCGAAAGGTCGCGACTCAAAGCAGGTTCTACCGCATAGGTTCTCGCCATTGTAATGTACAGCCGCTCTCTGATGCGCTGTCGGGTTAAACCGCGTATTGTTCCGCGCGGTGTCCGACGTTTTGCAATCAAACGCTGAGGAGCAGTTCCTGAGGAAGCTCCTATCGCGTGGGAGCGAATCGTCTGGGGCACCGTGGCCGAACAAGGCGCGGCGCACACAACGAAGGACGCGTTGCAGAGCTAGTGGGCAGGTTTTCTCCACCGAGGGTCAGGGTGCAGGCTGAGCTCTGTGAAGAACAAACACCGCTCAAGCTGGCTGGTTGCAGACTCCCCCGAGGGGTGGGAGGGCGAGATGATGATGATGGTGGGGGAGGGGGGGGGGGTCGAGATGATGGAGAACGAGCAGCCTCCTGGGCTCCGCCGGATTTTCTCATGCCTCTCAAACGCATTCCAGCACCAGAATGGTACAAAAAAAACCCGAAATAAATAAATAAAAATTAAAACAAACGCTGTTGAAATTGGTGAATAAGTTTCACGTGCTCAGAATGTCATCTCACATTTTTTTCGTTATGAATAAACTATTGCTGCTTTGCTGCAAACTGCACGTGGAGTTTCGTGTTATTCCACAGCGCGATGGATTTCATTTTTGCACAATCCATGTGACAGCTTCAACGCTGCTGCCACTGCTATGGCAATTCAAGTAAAAAAAAGAACATCGTTCAGAAATTACAAGTTAACAAGAATATTTTACCCACGCACTTTAAACAAATAAAATCCACTGATACCACGTGTCACTTTTTCTGCACAATGAACGAAATAATGTATCCCGATGACACCTCCCAGATTGCTTGGATGCGTGCAAGCCACGGCACAGCGATCGTTCCCGCAGTGGGCTCTGAACCCGGTGTTCCGCAGATCCCCGGCCAAGGCGAAACATCGGTCGCGGGCGATATATGCGCAAGTTCAACCGGCACTGACCAGCGGTGCTGACGCATTATTCCAACGACTACCACGACCGACACAGCACGGGTAAGGCCTTTCGTCCAGCAGTCGAATGACAAAGGGATGTGTAAAGTAAAGAAAAAAAAACCCCACAACGGCTGGGAAATCTTACGAGAAAAATGATCGCCGTGTTACGTCACCGAGGCTGACCGACAGGACGTGAAGCATGCAGCCAGGAGCGTGCGCAAGTATGAGCTGTCCGTCTCATTCCCCAGACACTCCCGCCACGCAAATGACAGTTATCAATCGCATCGACTTAACCAATGTCCAGTAATGAATCGGAGCGCCGATATTTAATCGCGTAACAACGAATTCTTATAACGCACAATGTACCGGACTTGGAACGCGACCAAAACACGCTGTCAGAGAGCTCATCATCCACCCGCTCACTGCTCGGCCGCGTACATTGTTCGTGATCGCCTTGTCATCTCTTGTCAAGATCAATATGCAATGTCATGGAATAGGGAAATGTTTCAAACGCTATTTTTTCTTTGCCAGCATTAGCGACGTGTATTTGCAGAAGCATAAATCAGAAATGTCACTCCGTATAATAATGTGCAGCGGATAGAGGCTACAAGCGCACACAAAGATCCCCCGTATAGCCTTAACAGACTTTTGGGGCTAGTCCTATTAGTGAGCAGCTATGAAGGGAGTGGGTGGCCAACGCCAAGCTCGGCCGCCTTTGTCTCCCCTACGGCGATGTTTATACACTGTATCCAGGTACTTATTTGAGGCAGAGTCGACCTCGGGGAGATAATCGTCACCGGTGTTGGTGATCGTGAGCGATGATCGACCTCGGGTCGCCGGGTTCGTAGGGCAGCGACACACACGCGCGCACACACACGGTCCAAGAATTAACATCATTCCCGAGAACAACAAGGAACCAGACGTTCCACGGGGACTCACTGCAGCATCCAACCAAAAATAATTAACGGTACCACCACCGTGATGGAGCGCGGAGGCCGCGTTGCGTGACGACAGAGACGGCAGTGGCGCCGGCGATGTCCCCCGCCCTCAGAGCGACCTCACGACCCTCGGATACCAGAATCAGAATCGGGGTTTTATTCGCCGTGAAAGTTCACACAGACACGGAATTTACTTTGGCAGGATGGTGCATACATTCAACATGTAGGAATCTAAAATCTTAAATGAAGTGGTAAACAAGTCTTACTATAATAAGGGTTCGAAGTCTAACTAACACCAAGGGGCTAAAGCATATAAAATTTAATACATATCGAATGTAAAATAGCTATAAGATACAATCTAAAAATAAAAAAAATACAAATAGGGTAACATAGTTAATATTATAATCTTAGCTCTTTCGGTAAAGTCACATTGAAGGGAAACAATAAAATAATAAAATATATAAAACAATAAAAATTCAAATTTCAAATGTTTCT